ACATCAAAGTCAACTCTTGGTCAAACTTATGAATTCTTAACTTCTTCAAATTGTCAACTTTCGACAAATAGTGTCGAATTCTTCTATGAATCTCCAAAAAATCAATTCGAACATAGCGTACAAGTCCAAAATCATCAAACAAACCTATTGGAACCATAAAAACTCGATTCCATGTCCGTTTACCCAAAAGTCAAACATTAATCAACTCTTGCAACTTAAAGCTTACACATCGAGAGTCATTCTTCCAAATGAATCCCAAATCACTCGAAAACTAAAATCGATCATACACGCAAGTCATAATACATCATATGAAGCTACTCAAAGTCTCAAACTACCGAATGGAACGCTAAAGCTCAAAACGACCGGTTCGCTCATTACAAATACAGAGGTATATTTGGCCCTTCTCCTCCGTTCTCTAATTGAAGTATATATATATATATATATATATATATATATATATATTCTGGTTTAGTTTCCATATGTAGTGCTGCATAATGGAGTAGTAATGCCAGACTAAAAAGATGAAAAAGAAGATTTAAAGTGGTGGGGTCTTCTTGTCGGAGCTCTATTATAACAACGACTGAGGTTTATGATTTCATCGAAATTCAGATTGTGTCACCGGGATTTTGTGATGGGTAATTGACATGAAAATCACTGTTGAGAGGTTAGAATTAAATTTAAATCTAACAGTCTAGACAAATTTCATCGGTTGTAGTTCTAGCCACGACAAATTACATTTCATCTCTACTAGCCTAGGTTGCTCGGACTCTTCAAAAATATCAGTAAATACGTGTCGGATCCTTCAAAAATAGATCCGAAATACCATTTTAAAGAGTATGTGCAACATAGCAGCTAGCTAGATTGTCCACCCATATACTCAATGTCTAGCATGTACCTTAGCTTTATGTAAATTGATTTTGTTAAAATTTAATTTCCCTTTAGTAAGGGCGTCACTAGACATCACTTCGTATAAAAATTTCCTTATGTATTTATGTGTATATAATATACTTTTTTGAAAAGTTAATATGTTACGCAATAGCTATAAATATTAATTTGGAACAGGAAGAGAAACGCTTTTAAACCACCAGTCTTTAATCCGAACCTTTTTATAAGCTGAATTGTCATAGAAATACCTGCATCATTTACGTAAATCCTGTATATGTCACAGCACAATTTGTAAAACTCTTTGTTTTCTTTTCCTTATTCCTTTCTCGAGAAAATATGGAAGAAAAAACCAGAAATTAAAAGAGAATAGGTAAAGAATATCAGAAACATGAAAAGTGTTATATATATGGCCAGTTTGCTAAAAGGCCCACTAGATTTTTGGTAACTGTTTTAATATAGAACCTGATTAATTTGGATTCAGATCGGAAAGTCCCCCTTGGGAGAGGAAGGTAATTAAAGCGCTTTGTTATCAAAAGTAATTTAATTCACAAGGTTTGAATTCGAAACCTCTGAGGTTTATCCTTTTCCACCGTTGATTTAAAAGAAAAGAAGGATTCAAAAGCAAAGAAGGATTTAACCCTTTAAGATAAAAGATCAGCAAGTTAATGATGGGTTGGACTGTCATTAGGGTGGATACAAAGGTGGATAACATATATAGTATATACTAATAAGTGATAAAAGAAATAGACTAACTCAATTACAAAAACTTGCTCAAGACCATATAAGGAGACAAATTACCTCACTTAACCATTATGGGACTCTAACAATAAGTTCAACTATTCTTGGCACCTACTAACTAAGTTGCTCTGACATGGCAGTTTAGGTGTCGCACCCCTATCGACACGACACTAGTATGGGATCTGGTTAAATAATTTGGGTACTTAATTTGACCACGATGGACGGAAAAATTCGAGACGAGATACAATTTGATTTCCGAAATCAGAACCAAAACTAGGGAAGGAAATAGATAACTTATCTAGGAAATTAATCCTTTACTTATCTACTACTTGAGAATAAAAAAAGAAATTCACACTTTACAAGCTATACATAAGTATTCCTCAAAATTTCTCAGAATTTAGAGATATTGCTATTTTTTAGAGAGTTGTTTTTAGCGGATCCGTACTAGGATCTGTATCCCTGAATTTTAAAATTTACATCTCGAAGGACCAACCTCTAGGTCCGCACCCGCGTTCGAGCAACTAATTAGTCTACTAATATCGGGATAATGAAGATGGCCTAGCTCTATCAGCAATGACGATGAGCAGAGAAGCAGGTTACTGCATGGTGCATGGCATGATCTGAAACATACAGAGATCAAATCAAGATTTTGTTTTATACTGGTAGCAAACAGTCTAGGCTGGACCATGCAAATATAACTCAAGACAGATACAAGAAGATGGATTTGAACTGTTCGTCCAAAGGACGGATCTTTGAAGGATATGTTACTTTTCGAAAATAACCATAAATGTCACTGTCTGTAAAATTCAAGGTCAGTGAAACAGAATTATATTTGCAGTTACGAATTAAGGTGGATGAGAAACTTCCAAAATAACCCTATTCCCCTAGGAGTAGTACTTTGCCCTCTAGATTCCTAAATTTATCGTAGTTACTTTTAAAATTAAAAGGAGTACTTTTTCCCTATATCCATGCTCCCTATTTTATAGCAAATTGCATCTCTATATATATATTTTAATGATTCTTGTTGTAATCAGCCTATTTGAGATGAAAAAGATAAGTTCCCATTTCGTTAAAAAAGATTAAAAAATAAATAAAGAGAAAAGCAATGTTCCTCTCGTATGTGCGGAGGCCAATGTAGGATACTCTCTTTGAATAAGTTGACCTGCCTTTTCTACTTACTAGTATACTAATAATGAAAATGCATATTTACTAATTATGATCCCCGTGGTGTTTCAAAGCAAACAGAAAAAGAAAAAAAAAACATCTTGTTTTAAAAACAGAAAAAGGACAGAAATCTAATTGTTTGGTATGATCTGACTAAAGAAACCAACAAATAATTGGTTTGGATGCCAACCTCAATTTATTGTTGTACTATTACACTTACTAATCTTCCTGATTATCTAATAGTGTTGTTCCAACTGCTCATTAACAGCACACAAACTGTTTATTCTTACAAACTGTTGCTTGTACAAGTGAGAAAGGAAAAATAAATGACATGTTACCATTTTGAAGATTTATTTAAGCTATTCCATTGCAATTCTTAAATATCATTCCAGCACGAGAAATTTTATTCCATTCTTACACTTAAATTTCAGTTACATCAGAAGTAAATCTTTTCTTCTTTCAAAGATACGAAAGGGATAATTAATATATATATATATATATATATATATATATATATATATATATAATGAAAGGTTAGGTCCAGTAATTATACATTAAGAGATAAGCAATGCGTAGATGGGGCCATAGAAGGCACACGTGTCGATAATACAATGGCTACTTTGAGGAATGATCTTTCTAAAACTACCAAATAATTAAGGAAGGGAGAATTAATCGAAGACTAGAAGCATTACTGTTAGTGTTAAAGATGATTAGAGAGGGTGGGGAATATGGATTCTCTTTTATAATAAGAAATGTTGAATCAGACAATGGTCTGTGATATGCACAAATCATCGAAGGTTGATTGAAGCCCACATGAGGGTGAAAAGAGACATCAAGTGGGCCATTCTTTTTTCGGGCAAATCTCAACAATAATAGAGTCTTCATTAACAGCTCTATTGATTTGACCATTCAATATCCAAAACAAAAAAAAATTGCCCTACAACAGTCAATTCAAAAGAAACACTGGAAATCCTAGCAGATTTTGATTAATTACAGTTGAAAGATCTATGTTTTTTGGTTGTTGATGTGGAAATGATGTTCAATATTAGTATTGGATGATGGAAAATGTTGCACCAAAAGGTAGTGGCAAAACCATTTGGCCAAAGACTGGAAATGATACAAAAGACATGGTGCAGTAATAATGTCTAAACATGAAGCTATATATGCTGAATTTGGTTGCTTATGGACAGTTTTCTTCTGTCAAAAAAGATTGATGTTATGTGAATAGAAATGAAATGTGGCAAAAGGGGTTGGGACTTGGGCACCGTTGAGTCTAATGAGGCTTAACTGTCTTAGTATGTTTGCATATGCATGGAATAGGACCTGTCATTCTAGTGTGGGTCTGAACCTAAGAGAGAGAGAGAGAGAGAGAGACCCCTCTGCCACACAAAAAATAAATCAGAAGTGTCATCAGATGGCCATATCTACTGTCTCTTTGTTAAGGACAGTAGTTTTGGCATATGAGTGAAATACAAAAAAGAAAGTCTACTTTCGAATTTTACTACTGCCCTTTTGGGAATTTCAAGCTATTTTTGCAGAAAAAGGGGATCCTGAAATGTGAACAACTCATACATAGTCCTTCCTTCCAATTCCAACTTCACCATTCTGGTTCAAGATTTTCTTGATAACAGTGTAGAGGGAGGACTTATCACCCGTCCTAGAATTCAGAATTCCTCCCTTCTTCCACAATAATTGATCAATTTGTCTTGGCCACATTCATTAACAAAATACTAAATTCTAAACAAAAATAGTTAGTGTGATTAAACTACCCTTAATTAAATGTTGCTACATAATTTAATGTGAGGAGTAAAAGACTTTTTAGAGATATGTACATAAGGGTAATTTTGGAAAACAAATTGAATTTTTTCTTGATTATATAAATGGACACTTATTTTGGACCAAAATAAAAAAAAAATTGATCACTTATTGGACCGGAGGGAGTACTATTTGAAGGCGTAAAGTTAAGAAATAAGGGTGAAAAAATGTATCAAAGCAAACAAGTATTCTAGAGGGGAATAGGCGCTTTTAACGGATCCTGTCAAGTAACCATACAAAAAGTGATGATGAGATCCAAAGCTTCTTTATCTTTACCTTTAGTAATCAAATAATTGGTGCTCAAGCATAATGAAATAGGTTTGCTTTATGAGCAAAGAATCATCAAATTAAAGGTAAGGGGATTCAAAGGATCTCTTGACAATTAAAATAGAAAGCAATAGCACAATGAAAAGAAGCTTCTTTAATTCATTCATTAGTACATCATATGTCCCCTTCTCACCCTTTAACTTTCCTTCCCAACCTCTTACAGTTCCCTTTTTCTCCCTCAAACTCCAATCATACATAGGAATTTAATAACAAACATCTTTAGAAAATAAATATGAGGAAGTGATGATGGTCACAACAAAAAATATAAAAGAAAAGCCAATAAGTAAATAAAATTTGCCTAATATCTATGGCAACAAACCTTTTTTTTCATATATCAATACAGTGATAGTGCTGAAGGAGCCTATTGGCTTCTCTTAGGCCACTAAAATAAGCACCATGAGTTGTTGAATAATGGGTTCTATGTGTTGCTTCCCCTGCAAATAGAATTTGAAGTGGAGGGGAAATACAACTATAATTGCTCCTTTTTGGCAATGGCTCAGCCATAGTATCCAAATCATCTCCACTTGATCCAACTGCTACATAACTATATGACCCCAAGAAGAGTGGATCAGTACCCCATTGGCTCTTTAAAACCTTATCAAATTTGAAACAACTTTCTGCATGCCCATTGCACAACTTGTTTAGATGCTTTGAGTTTACTAGGAAATCGGAGATCATTGTCGAAAACCCATCAACGATCTCTTCATTATCAAGAGATTCGAGTTCAAGAGCCTCTGCACCTGCAAACCATGATAATAGAACATTTGAGCTGCCATAGATTGGACATAAAGAAGCTGTCCTCCTCATCCACCAGGGGATTTTCGGATGCCTTAGTTTTGAGTCTGACTGATGGAAGACCATCTGCAAGTATGGGAACTTCACGCCATCTTCATCTTTGGTTGGACTTAATTGCAAGAATAGCTTGTTAACAACACCAAAACCAAGCCTTGAGATTGCCTGAGTCTTGAAACTAGGAAGTGGAGGACTAAACATACCAGAATCATCGCCAATCTCTCGTTTTAGAACCCCAAGTGAGACTGTGACAATGACATGATCAGCATACATGATTGACCCATCATAAAAATGTAGCTTTACTGGCTTAGTATCATCGCCATTTTCGACATCTAATGGACCACCATCATCAGGCTGCCATTCAATTCTGGTGACCTTTCGGCCTAATTGAATCAAACCAGCTGGCAGAACAGATGCCAAAGATTCAACTATAGTAGAGTAGCCTTTGGCAATGGTTATCTCCTTCCCAGGAAACATACGATATTCGCTTTCTGCATTGAAATCTAGAGTGTGCAAATCACCAGCTGATGTATAAGTCCTTTGTGTGTTCTCAAGCATTGCAAAAATGCCATCCTCCAATGATTTTCTGCTCCAGTTATCAATTCCCTCTTGGTCCTTCATTGAACCCCAATAAGCATCAAGCCCTTTCCTTAGGAAAGAACCAACACTGAGATTGTCATTGGAGGATCTATAACTTTGAGCAAATTCACTGCACACACCATCTTCAATAGCCTTCCCCTGAGCAAAATCCATGAGCTTCTTGAAAAGATTGGATATGGGCTCAACAATGGAAGAATTGAGGTCATGTCCTCCTTCAGCAATAGTCAATGGCTCATCCAAGAACTCATCCATACACTCCCAAGGCTGGTGTGATTCCAGTGAGTTAATATCCTGAGCAATCTTGTAAACAGGGCTACCCCCAATTCCATGGATCCAAGTAGCACCCATCTCAATCCTGCTGCCCCCAAACTCGGAGGTCTTAATCCTTCCACCAATCCTATTACCACCCTCCACAACGCACAACTCTAACAATTGTTTAGAACCTGCAGCTGTGTACAGCTTGTTAGCTGCTGTAATACCTGCCATTCCTGCCCCTATTATTACAACTTTTGGTTTCTTGGTCACCATTTTCTAAGTGCTTGAGGAAGATGATAGGACAGACAAAAGGAAGAAAGAGTGAACAATTTTGTGATGAGGGTGTATAGGAATTAGTGAACAAGAATCAAGTATATAAGGAGGGTACTACTCATTCTCCCCCTCTTTCTTTACATAGTTTATTTCCCTAATAAAGACACTCATCTATCTACACATAGTTTATTTCTCTAATAAAGACAGGCCTCAACTTTTCTTAGCCTCTACTGTTGTTAATGTAGCCAATACACTAATGTCTCAACACCACTGCTACATACACACGTATAGCTATCAGTATACATGTCCCATAGGAAGGAAAAAAAATAAAACCACAGGCACACACGAAAGCTTCAACAACTCACAACCCCCTCAACAATCACAGACATGTGTGCACATATTTATATATACTAAAAACATCAAAGCTTTGGTTAAGCAGAGTATATTGATGCCAGCACCAATAATAGGTTGATGATGCTTTTCACCAACCTCACATGTGAATCAGGTAAACAAAGGCCCACCAACTGAAACACATTAAATGGTCCTGCGTAGTCATTGAAGAACTAGCCATGAATGTCTTTCAACCATGTAAAAAAGATCAGTTTATGTGAACCTATTTACTTTTTGGTCCGTTCTAAAAAGAATGACTCCTTTCTAAATTTGGAAACACTTTGACCTTAAACTTCTAATTCTACCCTTAATGAAAAGTTTTTATAACTACACAAATACTCTGGATCCCCTTCTAACTTGTTTAGGATCACAAATTTTAAAAGTCTTTTTTTTTCTTAGACTACTTGCCCAGTCAAACAAGTTTACATACATTGAAACGGAGGGAGTACTGCACATTTCACTACTCAATATTGACTTAGCATTAACAATGGTTATCCTATTTTTGGCTGCACGTAACATTTTTTCCTTTTGTTATTAAGGCATTTCTAGACTTGGATAGTTCGATTTGAGTCATTTGACCTACTAGGATTAGAATGCAAAACTTACTTCCTCCTTCCCGTTTTACGCAATACGTTCCTTTTCCCAAATAGAATGACCATTTTTTATAAGTTTTTTTTTTTTGTAATTTACATTCTTACCCTTAATGGCATGACTTGTTGGGACCCACTTGATAAACAATTTTATATTTTATAAGGAGCGAAATTGAACTTTCAACACCACTCATTAAAAAGGATTGGTTTGGTACTCTTGTGTATATTTGACTTGCAAGTCAAAAGTATTTCTTAAATTATATTTAAGTTATATATATTGAATGTTAAAGAATTTATATCATCATTAAAATTTAACCTTTTATAATAGATAACTAGTCGTTCTTATGGATTACCAGTGAATACTTATTAAATAAAGTTACTTGCATTTATCCTTTTAAGTATCTTGATTGTGTATAATATTTATTACATTGATAGTTGTATAAAACTTGTAAGCTAAATAAATGCGAAAATAACTACGTCATTGATGAATAAAATTTGAAAAGTATGGGCGACACAAATGAATAAATAAGAGGCTTATTTGTAATTTTACACAAAGATATTTGTGTCCTCTTACATTAAAGCAAAGGTTCTTTTTCGGAAAAAAGAGTCAGCCTTCAATTGTTGCGACACTAAAGTTCATTTTCAAGATATCTCGGCACATTTTAGACGATGAAATGTTATTGGCATACAATGATGTGAGGATATAGTAGCCAGCATCCTATGCAAAGTTTAACTATTATTTTTTTTTAGCATAAAAAAGTAATACTACTAATCATTTTCTAATATATTGAATATTGTAAGGAAACTTTTACTATCAATACTCCCTCCGGTCCAAAATAGCTGTTTTCACACAGATTAAGAAATTCACCTTTTAACATTAATTAGCAATGAAATTGACCATATTAACTTTTACTATCTCTTCACATAAACACTCCTAACACATACCTCAACACTATTTACTCCATGGGCAATGTAGGAAAAAAATAATTAATTCATTCTTGAAATCTGAAAAAATTACCTATTTTGGACCATAAAAAAAAGGCAAAAAATCACTTATTGTGAACCGGAGGAAGTACCATTTAACCGTCTATATCAAGTTACAAATTTTAAGTTACCATGTTAGATTTACTATCAACAGTTACTTATTTTTGTATGTTAATTTTTGTTGGAGCATGTGCACTTTAATATTAAAATTTATAATATTAAAGTGCATTATTCCTTATCATGTGAAGGCTATAAATTTGTAAGAAGTAGTCATTATTTCTTGGTATAATCATGTAACCATTAATGCTATAATATATCATTAATTACCCACTAAAACTTAAATTTTATAATCATGTCACGGCGAAATATACACGCAAAAATATGTGTCAATCAAGCAATAAAGTGATAAGTAAGGTAGCGTTCCCACCGGGATATGTAGTCTTGCATGAAAAGTAAGGTTGGTATAGTGAAAAAGAGAGTTGAGTGAAGGAGAAAATTTAAATCTTTAACTTATTAACTACGAAAGAGAATATTGTTTTGATAAGATGTTATTTGTGGTGGAGTTTTGGACTCAACAACTAGTTCAGAGATTTTTCTAGTTATACGATGTGATCGAATTGTTGTATCCTGGGAAGACAAGACAAGTCAAAAGGATTATTGCTGGACCAATGAAGATTTTGCTGTAGTAACTTGAATCTTCTTAAAGAGAGCGAGATATTCGTCCCTCAGCATAAAGAAATTTATTATTTTTACTATTTATTATTTTTCAACTGCACTTGGACACATACACGGGAGCACTCAAAGAATCACGAGGCACAACCAAATATGAAGCAAAATAAGATGACGCATAGGAGTACGTAGACCCTGGATCAAATAGAACTGAAGCATCTCTACTGCAAACCGAAACAGTACATGTGATAACAGCATTAGATGACTCAGCCTCAGGCCTGGCTGGGAAAGCATAACATCGGGGCTGGGCCCCACCACTCTGAACCATATCCCTGGGACAACCTCTTGCTTGCTGGCCTCCACCTCTAACGGCCTGACCTCCACCTCTAGCGGGCTGACTCTACCTCTGGCTCTCTGACCCCTACCTCTAGCTGGCTGAGCGGGCGGTGCCAGGACCATGGCACGAGAACCCTGCTGCTGTGACTGAACACCCACTAATCTCGGACAGGTCCTCCGGACTCACCACACTCAAAACATCCATCCTGATACTGCGGCTGTGAAAACTGAGACTAACCCTGACGGGCCGACTGACCGCGATAATAACTCTGAAGAGGAGGTGCTCTGATAGGAGCTGGCGGTGCACTATAAGCTGGCTGCCCTGAAGGAGGTACATAAGGACCGCGACTCCCTGAAGCTCCATGGGATGTCTGAAGAGCTGAATGAAACGGCCTGGGAAGATGACCCCTACTAAAAGTTCCCCGGCCTCCAAATGAGGCCCCACTGAATCCAGCGGAGTGACGAGGCCTCTTGTCAGACCCCTGACCACTCCCCTGAGCTAGAACCATCTCAACTCGTCTGGCCACATTAGCTGCATCCTGGAAAGAAATCTCACTCCCTGTCTCCCTAGCCATCTGCGATCTAATGGTTGAGCAAGTCCCTCTATAAACCTCCTCACCCTCTCTTTCTCTCTCGGTAGGAAGTATAAGAAGAGCATGACGGGCCAAATTAACAAATCTAGTCTCGTATTGAGTGACTGTCATAGAACCCTGTTGGAGGCGCTCGAACTGCCTCCGATAGTCCTCTCTTTGAGTGATATGAAGATGCTTCTCCAGAAACAGCTGAGAGAACTGGTCCCAAATAAGAGCTGGCGACCTGCTGGTCTAGCCAAATAAAAATCCCTCCACCATTTCATGGCAGAACCTGACAGACGAAAGGTAGCAAAGTCAACCCCATTAGTCTCCACTATCCCCATGTTCCGTAATACCTCGTGACAACTGTCCAGATAGTCCTGGGGATCCTCTGAAGATGTACCGCCATAGGTAGTGGTGAAAAGCTTGGTAAACCTATCCAATCTCCACAAAGCCTCAGAAGACATAACTGATCCATCGCCGGTCTGAGCTGCAACACCCGGCGGCACTACCTCAACGGGCTGAGCTGCTGGAGTCTGAAACTGAGGAGCCATTTGCTCCGGAGTGTGGATAGCGGGAGTTTGGGCTCCTCCCCCAGCCTGAGAGACGGCTGGTGCTACAGGAAATGTACCGGCCTGTGCAACACTCTCCATATGGCCCACTAGACAGACCAAAGCATCCTAAAGTACCGGGGCCTCTGGAACCTGAGCTGGCTTTGTTGGAACAGTCTGGGCTGGAGCCTCCTCATCAAACTCTACCTAAGGCTCCGCCGCTGGTGCTGCTGCTCGAGCTCTAGGCTGAGCCCTGCCCCTGCCTCGGCCTCTAGCACGGCCTCGACCTCGTCTTCTGCCCCTCGTAGGAGCTGCCACTAGGGGCTCTGGCTGTTGCTCGGCTGAAGAAGCGGTACGTGTTCTCGCCATCCGCGAAAGAACAAGAGTAGAGAGTTCAATTAGCATTAAGAGATCAAATCACACGACAGAGAAGAAGAAGTGAAATGGTTCCTAAACTCTGTAGCCTTTGGGGATAAGCACATACGTCTCCATACTGAGCTTGTTCGTGAATTGTGAGACCTAGGCAACCTAGTGCTCTGATACCAACTTGTCATAACCCAATTTTCCGACCATCAGGACCGTGATGGCGCCTAACATCGTACTCGCTAGGCAAGCCAACTTTAGAGTTCCATTAACCTTTTTCCTTTACATTTCATGGATTAAAATTCAACAGACTAAATCAAGTAGAAATAAATGCAGAAATACGTAAATAATCTTTTATCTATTCACAATACCGTAGCTATTACTACTACTACCCAGAGTTTGGTGTAACAATCCATGAACATACTACGAATTACTACAAATATTAGTCTGAAAGAAATTACATCTGTCTCGAAAGAAAAGAAATTAGGAATGTAGAAACATAGGAGGGGACGCCAGGCCTGCGGACGCCAGCAGGACTACCTTGGGTCTCTTAGATGAAATGTCTGCAGCCGACCTCTCGGTCAGTCACTACCAGCTCCAAAATCTGCACAGAAAGTGCAGAGTGCAGTATCAGTACAACCGAACCCATGTACTGGTAAGTGCCGAGCCTAACCTCGACGAGGTAGTGACGAGGCTACGGCGGGGCAATTACAATATAACCTGCATACAGTATATAATAAAGCGAAAAAGAAGTACGGAACAAAATGGAACAGTAACTTGCAACAAAATGAATACGAAACTCCAATATCTTATCAGTACCCAGCTATAACCAATCCTTAGGTGAGATACAAAACTACAGAATAAATTCACAGCAGAAGAAGAATACATAAACGATAAACTGATGTTAGGGGTGTGCATTCGAATCGGTTTATCGATAAATCGAATTGATTA